CTTCGGGGCAGCCCTGGACCCCCACGCGGGGTGGTCACAGTCGTCCCCCCTCCCATGGGGGAGACGGGGAGATTGAGAAGGAATGAGAAACGAGAAGGAGAATCGAGAACTGGCAAAAACGCCTGAGAATCTTGAACCTCGAACGACGCGGCGAGGCGCAATGGGACAGAATCGGCGGCGCGACACGCCAAGCCGCCGTAAGCTCATCCCGTGCTCTGCATGGGAACTCCCCCGCACGTGCCGTGAAATGCCGATCCCTCGCAGCTGCTGCTGGCGACGAGCGCCATCGGAGCCGCACGTGCCCACGCTGACGCAGGGCTGGAGCCAAACGAGTTCACGAGCTCACGGGCGAGGCGACACGTCTTGCAGGCACAGCCTGCCCCTGCAGGTGAGAGAAGAGAACGAGAGAAAGAGGCCAGGCAAGGTCCTATAATCCTCTTCCTCTGGCCTGCGCGCCTTCTACCTCCCCCCATCACCCCCGCGACGGACCCAGTCCCTCTGACCAGTCTCCTCGGAATCTTCGCGCGGGCCTTACGCTTGGCTCCGCCGAGCAGACGTCTGTGTGACAACCGCTGTGGAGGAGGAGGAGGAGGAGGAGGAAGAGGAGGAGGAGGAGGAGGAGAGTAGGAGGAGGAGAACGATGGGGGGGAGGAGGAGGAGGAGGAGGAGGAGGAGGAGGAGGAGGAGGAGGAGGAGGAGGAGGAGGAGGAGGAGAAGGACGAGGAGGACGAGGAGGAGGGAAAAGGAAGGAGGAAAAGGAAGGAGGAGAAGGTGGAGAAGGAGGGAGAGGGGGAGGACGAGGAGGAGGACGGAGGAGGAGGAGGAGGAGGAGCAGGAGGAAAAGGAAGGGGAGACGGACCCAGACTTCCGACGAACGAATATTTCCCGAGGGGCGGAGGAGGAGGAGGAGGAGGAGGACGAGGAGGAGGAGGCGGAGGAGGAGGAGAAGGAGGAGGAAGAGGAGGGCAAGAAGGAGAAGGAGAAGGCGGAGGAGGAGAAGGAGGAGGAGGAGAAGGAGGAGGAGGAGGAGGAGGAGAAGGAGGAGGAGGAGGAGCGGAAGAGAGGGGAGGAGGAAGGGGAGGAGGGAGGAGAGCAGCAGCAGCAGGAGGGCGAGGCTACGCTCGCTGGAGAACTGGCGGAGAGGTGAAGGTGGATGTGGACGAGGCTGACGAGGAACCAGGGGAGGACACTCAGCCCGGAGAAGCTGGCGCGGAGGTCCGAAGTGCGAGGTGAGCAGGATGCGGTGGGTCCGTGGAGGGCTCCTCCGCGTTTTCGTCTGGGGCTCTCCCAGGGCCAGCTTGGGAGGCGATGCCCCTCGGCGCGACCAGACGGTTACCCGGTCGTTTTGTCAGGGTCCGCCAGGGCGTGGGCTGGACGCTTCGTGTCTCCTGTAAATGGAGCGCCCGGCGGGCCGGACAAGGACTGCGAGAGCAGGAGGAAGAGGAGAAGGAAGAAGAGGGGGATCAGGGATCAGGGATCAGGGATCAGGCCGAAGCGCAACATCCGAACCGGATGAGGGCTGGCGGGCAAGGGGAAAAGTGTGGAAGGCTCGGGTTACCCGTGCGCCACGGCCCCGCAGCCCTCCGCACAGGCCGAGGGCCACTAGGGCACAGGCCGTGGTGGCAAGCAGCACGACGGCACCAGCCGTTGCCTGCCACCATAGCCTGCACCACCTAGCGGACCTCGCGACCCGCTAGAGCAGCATCAATGCGCCAGGACTGCACTGAGGCCCTCTCGGCAGGGCCTCGGCAGTCCGCCAAAAAGGCCCCTCCACACTGGGGCCTCAATGGAGACTCGGGCGCCGCAGCGGCGGCACATCAAATGCTTGTCGGTGGCCTGCAGGCAATGGCCCCGGTACTCGAAAGTTTCCTGAGCCTGCACGCGCAGGCCATCATAAGTGAGCCCCAGTTTACGACAGGCGTTCAAGACAGCATCACTACGCGCCCTAGGGAGGAGGGCATTGTGACGCTCGGTTCTAACAGCTGCGAGATACACGTGGGGCGGCGTGGGTCACACTTATTGCCAGGCTGCTCAAGCTTTGCTCGAGAGAGCGAGGTCTTGCCTGAGCAGTGGCACCACGTACACCTCGCCCCCCCACTCTCCGCCACCTCCAGTCGTGAGAAAGGAAGGAAAGCTGAGGCACCGCCAAGGGATTACTACGGCAGGGCCTCGCAGACATGGAAGAGGAATCAGCCTGAGACGCGACGAACTGAGCGACCTGACCCAGAAATCGGCACGTCTTTCTCGCGCCCTTCAACTGCGCTTTTAAAGTGGCGGTGGCGACGTTAGCAAAAGCATGTTACTGCGCCCCCAGCTCAGCAAAGAAATCGGCCCACATGTTGCCCAGATAATCGAAAACCGCAGTGTCCACGGTTCGATCTAGGCTCGAAGCGCACCTGCCAAACAAGAGGGAGTCGAGGTCTCCACTGGCTGGGGTCCAACGGACTCGGGGCCTCTCGCTGGGCGGAGCCCCTGCTGGACACAACTGGAACCAATCTCGCCAGATGCACGCATGCTTGTGACACCCTGTAGCCAGCTCGGCAGACCAGCTCGACGCCTCTCGCACCGCCGAGAGGTGACCACTGATAATCTCAACTCGTCTCGGGCCGAGGCGGACCGCCTGCGGCCACGCATGCCTTTCGGCCCTGGGGGCAGTCTGGATGGCCCCTGGAAAAGGGCCCAAAACACGCCCGAATGGGCCGGCCCCCAGGACTCAGCTCGACCACGGCCCACCCGCAGCGGCAAGCTTCGGGTGGACCGTTCGAAAAGCCAGAACCGTCGGAACAAAAAAGTTAAAAGCCCCACGGCTTGGCTGGGACAGGAGCGATGCTGAGGGGGAGGAGAGGAACACCGCGCGAAGTGTCGAAGTCGGGGAGCATACCCTTCGCTCTGTCCCGCGGCCAATTCACATGCTCAATCACATCGTCCGGAAAAAAGGGACGCCTCGGCTGGGTCATCACTGGGTTCCCAAACTCGTTTACACTCATACCACTGGTGACCGAAAGTGCCGAGGGCATCGCAACCGAATTCGCACTTGGGGCCAGCTGCGTAGCTACGCTGCTGCTTCTTGGCTGGCGGCCAGAGTTTCCCGCTGATCAGGCCTCTGAGGGCCGCTTGCCTAGGAGGGCCCTAAGCAGCCAAAATCCCTAATCTGAGCGCGCGCGCCCCCAGACAGGCCCACCACCACAAGCCTCGGGAATCGCCTCCAAAATCTGCCGCACTTGGGCACGACTGATGCCCTCGCGCAAACGCTGCTTGACATCACAAGGGCAAACGGTGAACAGAGAAATAAGTTCACCCTGGCCCGCCCTCAGTTGATGGTTAAAAGCTAGATCCCACCCAACTCGCAGCAACGATAGAATGACCGCCCCACATAGGCCCCTGAACGCGACCCCAGCGAGGGCGATCGCGCAAACGAGCTTGAGCCGCCGAGCAGGCCACTCGCAAGTCAGAACTGGGCGCTTTCCGATCCCAGGCCCAGCAGCAACATCTGAACACAAGCAGGATCGTAGCATCGACTACGGGGTCAAAGCTGGGATCCTTGTGGGTATACAAGAAACCAGTGACGTGAGAAGCTCCACCCGTCCCCATAGGGCCCCCAGCTAAGGCCCCGAGAGTTCTGAGCGTTTCATTGGTCACTCCTGATACCGAGGCCCCGTGGCCTCCACTGGGCACGAGGCCTGTGCGCCACAAGCCAGCAACCTTGGTGCCCGCAGAATTATTGAGCACCTGGATGCGGTGCTTCCCCCTAACCAGCGCAACTCGCCTCTTAGCTTCCACCTTTCGGAGAGCACGCCTGCCAAACGAAGCATGACCAAGGTCGCCTTCCCATCGGCTTGGCCGACATTGCCGCATGCTTGGAAGCGGCCAAGCTGGCGGCCACAAACCCCGACTTATTGGGTCAACAGAGCGCCAATCGGGCGCACGAGAAGACATAACTCCCTAGCCGCAGCAAGGACCACCTCACCTCGCCCGGGGTCGGGACCTGACCAATGCAGAGAGACGTCGTCCATTAGAGTTCTCGCCTGGACTGGAAATCTTTCAATCACACATTTAACTGGTTGCAGCAGCACTGCCATCATAATAGAGCAGCCGCCGAGCATCCAGCTAAAATCCCTTGGGGAGAAACGAACGGCTCCGACAGCGAGCCGAAAGCATCAATCCTCCGAGGGGGAATATAAGTCTGGATGACCATCCAACCAAGGCGGACCGGGAAACCGACCGATCTAAAAAGCTGAAACAAGACCGAGATCTTTATCATCTCGTAGCATTCAATCATATCAAGCAAGAGGGCTACCGAGTGCCAGCCTCTGGCCACGGCTACCTCGGCCGAAAAGTCCAAATCGAACGCAGAGTCCGACGCACTTCTACGCTTCCCAGACCCCCAAAACTCCCGAGTACGCCTCCCCGCCGCCCACTCATCAGTAACAGAACGCCGAATGCGTCCCCAGACTCGCAGAATCGTGTCTAGAATAGCGATTAGCCTGCGGCCACCGTCGGGTTTTGGCAGCCTGACAAGCCCGCTCACCAAGCGCTTGCTTGGCCAGACGAGTGCCCTTCCACACTGCACAAGTAGCGACGCAAGTGCGGCTAGCATCGCATCAGAAAGGCACTGGAGCGCACGGGGATGGATCTCACAACAGCCGACCGCCAGCTTCGGGGGAAGTCGTGCAATCGCTCTCCTCAAATCGTCGACCCCGAGCGGCGGCAGGCTCGCCCAATCCTTGGAATCGCTCGGCAACTTCAAATCGTCGCAAGAATGAGTGGTCCAAATATGGGACCATTCGCGGCACGTATCGCTGGCAAGCTCGAAAGGTTGGATCCGATGCTCCTCGGTGAGCACCTTTTGGATACCACGGACCCTGGTAAAACGATGGGCAGCTTTGACCCCGTCCAGGAACGCCTTCCTGACCCAGGACTTCCAGGCTTCCTCTTTGCTGGCCAAAAACACGGCCTCCTTTCCCTGGGCCGGTGACAAAACTCGCCCGATCAGATCGGGC